CAAATACATTGTGTATCCTTTTCCCTGCCAGATTCTATATGCTATTTGTGGATACAAACCAGCTTTTATGTGATAAATTGCGCATTTACAGATCCGTGTAATATGTAATTGTGTTAACAGAGTTAGTTAGTCCGAATTAGCAATTAAACAAAGCACAGAGCTTGGGTGATGTTGCCATAATTTAAGAGCCAATAGTGTTGCACGTACAGAATGGACCGCACCCTCGGGGTAGATAACGAATAATATATTTTGGCGGGTTTTCAAAGCGCGCTCTCTACGCAATGCGGCATAATGCAGGAATGTTCTTTTTTCGAATTAAAATTTTGTCTCCGTAGATTTGTATATAAATTTGTATTTAGAATTTAATTATTTTGTGCCAGTTATTTTTTTTAATTAGCAATATGCTATGAAGCCTGCATTCCCTGACCTCCTAAATGTTATTACATCGTATCTGGCGACTGAAATATTTTTAATAATATTTAAACACAGTTTTTTTTTTAATGAATGATAATGAAATGTAACCTCAGTTGCGCTATCGGTATACATTGGCGGGGCACCAGTGAGGGATGATTGGGGAGGATGAAAAGGCAGGTCAGTTAACCCATCGTGACTAATTCAACGATAAATTAGTCACGATAGTTTCCAGGGGGAACCGCGTGGAGGTCGACCCGATAGGATATATTGATAACAATACAGACTAACCTCCCCATTACTAACAATCCCTCCCCCCCCTGATGAACACAGTTAGTAAATCAATGCATTATAATGTATATTACGGTAGAAATATACTTTTATGTATAATTTGATATGTTCCGCGAAGTCTGGGATATTATTAGATACATTCCCCAGAATCGTATGTATTTGTTATTAACGCCCCTGATACATCACCCTCGTCAAGAATTACGAAGGAATAGGTATAATTTGCAGTAATATTTTATTTTATCACTTAAACTGTACAATGTGGTAAATTACGTCAATACATATAGTTATAAATTATTGTATAAATAAAGGAAACAAAATATTTCTATTCCAAGTATTGCATTTGATTATAATAGTGCGCCATCTAACATTTATCTTTTTCTCAAAGTCCTTTACCCAAAGGTTGTCTGCGAAGACACCACGCCGGCATACACAAACCAACAGTGTATGCCGGCTGCAAACCCAGTGACCCGGAGGTCGTCGCCTCCGGAGTAGAAGCCAGGGTAATGGGGTACGCCCCGAGGCCCCTACCTCGCCCGCTCACACATCATCCGGCGGGCAAGAGAAGACCATATTGCTGTTATTGTAGGTTGTCTGGAAGAGATTGCTTAGCGACAAGGTCACCTTTTGTTTCACTTCTCATTGATATTTACTGTATTTGCTATTTTTCTTTTTATTTGGTGTAATAAAGTGTAAAATAAATAAATAAATATTCTCATCATCATCATCATATCAGCCTTTAACTATCCATTGCTAAACATAAACCTCCCCCTAGGGGAGTTTTACCAGTAGTTACCACGCTTGGCAGGCGGATTGACAATTGCAGTTAGGCTTTGGAGATGTTTTTTTTACGACACCCACGGGATAAATTACTACAAGTTAATAAGATTATGTTTATAATTGTAGTATATTTAATATTTTTGTATATTTTTTAAAATAAAATATAATTAAAGTTTAAAATATGTAAAAGAGGCTGTTTAGTGATAGACTTATATATCAACGTACAGACGAAACCGCTGAATCTAGAATTTTGAAATTTTGCAGTTAGATAGATAGATAGATAATCTTTATTGTTTCCTCCAAAAGATTACAATAGTAAACTTATTATAAATATAAATAATTACAAGAAATAATCACAATGAGAAAACAATGGGCGACCTTATCGCTAAGAGCGATTTCTACCAGGCAACCTTTGGATGGAGAGGAGTAATTATAAACAATTTGGTGGGAGGCACGATGAAAAATTTTGTTAGCAGATAGGTACTTAACTTAGCGTAGGTGAACAATAAGGAAGAGATTTTGAAAATCCAACCCCTAAGGGGGTAAAACGGGGTTTGAAAATTTGTATCGAACTTCGTCAGCTTAGAAGTTAGACACACAAGCGATCGAAGCCGTATACGAAAACTAGTATAATATAAAATGAATACGTAATACTGTTCTAAACAATCGTAATTCAACGTTCTATTTTACTCAACGATTATACAGCTTTGCGTCATTTCACTTCAATACGCCATTGTATTTTTTAACTTCGTCTAAAAATAACTGTCCTCTTATACTCGGTTATCGATATAATTCCTTTCGAAAGATTCTAATCACGTAATCCATTAATGGCATATTGGACATGATCAGGATTTTTCTGCAGGCTATTTTATGTTTAGGTGAGCAACTTTAGTATTTATAACCAAAACAATAAGTTGTTTGTATCTAAAAATACGATATTATTTCGGTATTATCCTTACAAATATTATGAATGTTGACTATAAATACTTATTACTTTGAATTTTTGTAAGTGATTGGGATTGGGACGACTGCAAATCGCGAGCCTCAGTCACCGGCACACGGCGCTGAGAGGAATACCGAGGTGTTTTTTAGTGGGTAAAAATCTCACAGTACCCATCGTTATCCCGCTGGCGGTGGGTCTCTTTCTGAAGATTTTCCCTTCGTTAAAAAAAGGGTTTTTTTATGGGTCAAAACGGTATGGTAACCCCGCCTGCGCTAACGGGATACGCTGGCGGAGCACCAGTGAAGGGTGCTAGATGAGAATAAATACAGGTTAGTTAGCCCATCATGATGAATTCATCAGGAATTAACCATGATAGTTTCCAGGGGGAACCGCGAGGAGGTCGACCTGGTTACATATTGATAGCAATAGGATTCTCAGTCTCCATTACTAACAATCCCTTTCCCCCTATAAGTTAGGGGGTATTTGAATATTTGTAAGTTAGGGGCTTAAACAATCACTATGAAATTTGGTATAGACGTATTTACTACAAGTATATGAGATGGAGAAGGATATTATATATATATATATATATATATATATATATATATATAGGTTACTTTTTATCCTGGTCAGTAAATATATCCCGGTCATATGGAGGAAGTCACGAATAAAAGCTGACTAATTATGTCTTTTGTGGTTAAAACTGGACATAAGATATGAGTATGTATGTATGTGTTTTTGATGTATCAGCCATTAAACGTCCACTGCTGAACATTGTCTTTCTCATATAGGGAGTTTTGCTAGTAGCTAGTAGTAGCTTGCCAACTCGCTTGGCAAGTGAGTTTTATTAGTAGTTGCATTGGGTTAGCAACCGCACTTAGATTTCGGTGTTGTTTTAAAAGGGACGCAGTTGCTCATTCCTTGACCATTAAGTTTCCTTAGTCGCCTCTTACGACACCCATGCGAAAAGAAGGGATGGCCCATTCTAACCAGAGACCACACGGTGTATGCTTCATTGATTATTCTACTTCTAAAATCAACGCGCGCGAAGTAGCGGGCAAAAGCTAGTGTTAAAATAAAAATAAACAGTATAATACTGGGACAGATACCGACAATGAAAGCTAATGAAACCATAACAGTTTTGAGCACGGCGAGGTTTTTGAATAGCTAATTTCGTTATGCAAATGTGACGTGAAACGTGAAGCGTCGTGAAACAGCTCGTGTATTAATTTCATATGATTCATATGCAATTAGTTTTGTGATGTAAATTAAGCTTGAATTAATGACAAAAGAATTACAATTTGAAATTAAAAGAAGACCGTAAACGTACGGTAAGCCGTACGCATATGAGACAATGCTCGGAGTTACGTTATGTGATAGAATTCAAAATGAGGAAATCCGCAAGTAAAGTGACTTATATAGTCCGAGGGATAAGCAATCTGAATTGGCAATGGTATAGGTACATAGCTTGAAGAACTGATAATTAATGGAGAAGAAAGGTTTTCGAGTGGCAATCTCATACAAGAAATCGCAGTATAGGACTTCCACTAAATGGAGCACCGATCTTAAATGTATTGCATGTTGTCAATAGATTTAGATGACTCAGGGCTATTCCTGATGGTAGCCTATGTACAGTGGCGAGCAATTATTAGTTGACTAAAAAAACGCTGTATTTTCTTCATTCTCTCTGCACTAGATTATCCGCTCACCATTTTCTTTACAACCCAATGCAGTGAGCATTAGGTTGGCTGGAACATATTTCTTTCAGTATACTCTTCCTATTGTTCCTTGTTCCTATCCTTTGTCCCATTTATTTGGGATTAACACAGTATGTCTTCTTCCAAAAATTTCTATCAATTAACATTTCTGAGCTTACTCCTCTTTTATGTACATCATCTTTCACGCCTTACATTTGCACATGTATACAAAATTACATGACAAATAATTGAATCTTTAAGGCACTAAGAGGCAACAAACAAACAAACTCATAAAATAATATTCTGCTCACTATTTATATTACAAGAATAAAAAAGTTACACTATTTTTGGCAAACCGTTCGTATTGCGATACTAAATCTAGACCTCACCTTAAATCCAATTTCATATACAAAATGGTGTGAAACATTATGATATCGTTGGAAGCGGAGGAAAGTTTTTTTTTTTTTACACTGAAAGTCTTAGCTCACGTTCTCGCGATAAATCGTGAACTTTGTTTTTTATAGCTCGCGCTAAGTTATTGGATAAGTGTGTATTTTCTCTTCTAAAGAAAGGTATCTATCTAAAGGACTTTATTTGGGTGGTTAATCATCAAATAAATTTGGACACGAAATACTAGATGGCGCTAGGATCGAGATTTGTAGTTTTGTCTGATTAATTTGTAATTAAAGATAATTTGAGGCAAAATTTCTAAACTGGCGAGAGTTTAAGTGTTTGAGTTTATCCATTGTAAACAAACAAACGACGAAATCTTTCCTTTTTATGAATATTATATAGATTTTATAAGTTTTTATATAGATTTTATAAGTTTTTATTTTACAGAAAAAAAAACATTAATTTAATATAAATTTTATTTGTTCCAGACTAGCCTGTGATCGTGAAAAATGGTGAGTAATAAAATAAATTATAATTAGTATACATAACTAGATGGAGTGACAACCTCAAATGCATTGCAGGATGGCAATTGATGCAGGTGACTCAGGACCGTTCTTTATGACAGTCTATGAGGAAGGCCTATGTCCAGCAGTGGACTGATAATAACTGTGATGATGATGATGATACGTAATATATTGAAATATATACTCGTATATAGAAATGCTAAATGCTTCTATTGTGGTGGCTACAGACAATTTATTGAGCTGTTACATTCAAACAGACCTATTTCGCTGCCTATATATATAACTATACTATATATATATATATAGTCCGTGTCCTGGTATTATTATTATGCCTATTGGTCACGCCCTCCTTTTCCGTGGGTGTCGTAAGAGGCGATTAAGGAAGGGCGAGGGATGAGTAGCAGCATCTCATCTCTACAGCCTAACTGCGGTTGCCAATCCGCCTGCCAATCGAGGCAACTACTGGCAAAACCCACCAAGGGGGAAGTTTCAGCAGTGGACAGGTCAATAAAATGATGATGATGTTTTATATTTATCTATTAAAATATTTACCCTCAATCCTCACTGGAAAAACAGGTCGACATTTTGTATTAAAATAAATACTTATTTTTATATAGCTAATAAAAAAAGCTGAGTGGATTTTTTAAAGATACTTGTGTGGGATTGAAATTTATGATATTATAATTTGCCTTCTAAATAATATAAATATAGGTATATCTCATTTAATTTTGTTACCAAGCAATGTCGTTAGCGAGATTTAATGAAAATAAAAAATATTTATCTTTAATATATTATAGGCTTGTGAAGTAAAGAAAAAATGTTTACCCATAATTCCAGATTCGTTCGGTTTTACATTTAAATTACGATGTATTTTTTTATATTAGTTTTTTAATATTCACTTAATAGAATAATTTTGAAAGAATCACGTTTTAAAGTACGATTTTTATGTTTGCTTTTACTCTCAGGTGTAGTATATATATAGTATTGATTTTATTTGATTTATTTATACATAAAAAACTGGCTTCTAATGTGGCGGTACGCACAATGGCCCAAATGAGAGGCTAAGTGCGGAAAATGGAGTCCCTTTCACATGTGGCGGTACTGCGCGGTTTCAGAAATGTTTCCTCTCACAAACACTCAGGTTGTGGAATGAGCTCCCTGCTGAGGTTTTTCCAAGAGACTACAGCATGGGGTTCTTCAAAAGGGGGGTAAAGAGGTTTCTTCAGGGTCGGCAGCGCACGCGTAATACCTCTGATATTGCAGGTGTTTATAGGCTACGGTAACCACTTACCATCAGGTGGGCCGTATGCTTGTTTGCCACCTCAGTGGTATAAAAAAAATATTTAAAAATTCCGTTATATTTATTGGTTTAGAAACTAAACCGTTGAGTTGATTTTGATAAAATATCTATGACACGAATCTGACAGCATATTTTTTCATATAAAAAAATCCAAATGAGTACAGCCATCTTCGGGTAAACGGGGAACATACATAAAAAATAAAAAAAAAATATAAAGATTCTGTCGAATCGAGAACCACCTGCTTTTTTTGAAGTTGGTTAAAAATAACACCAAAATTGTATGTTTTTTATGATGTTATTTATTCATGGTATTATTATTTATTTTATTCTTAAAAGCCATTTCAATCATGTATGGGACTATTTAGCTGTGTAGGTCCCGGCATAGAATAGGCCACCCCTTCCTTTCCTGTGAATGTCGTAAGAGAATAAGGAAGCTTGTGGTGGAGGGATGGGCAGCAGCGTCTTTCCTAAAACATTACCAAAAGCCAAACTGCGGTTGCCAATCCGTCTGCCAAACGTGGTAACTACAGGCAAAACCCCCCTTATGGGGAGGCTATTTTCAGTAGTGTATAGTTAATGGCTGATTCAATAACATAGGATTTTTTTAGTACACACTACTTTTAGTTAAAAGAGAAATCATCAAATAGTCTACTAATTATTGTAAGCATATTACAGACAGGAGTTCATATTGTTTCATAAAAAATATATTATTAATCTAAAACGTAGTATATTCATTGATGAATGCAGAGATTTCTTCGTAGACGCAGTACGCGTGCGTTACGCGTAATACCTCTGGTATTGCAGGTGTTCATAGGCTACGGTAACCGCTTATCATCAGGTGGTCCGTATGCTTGTTTGCCACCTCAATGGTATAAAAAAAAAGACACATTGAAAATATTTGAATGTAGAATGTTGAATCGCCAGTCTTAATATAAATGTTACTACCAGTAAAACAAATTGGTTTTTTACTCTGAAAATAAAAACGGCAGTTTTAATCGTTATATAGTCAATGTGCGGCGAATGCGAGACTCAATTTTATCGATAGAGACTTTTTATGGTAGGTGCAAGTGGAATACCCCATTTTCGCTATCTCTTATCACGTATTGGTGTCCGTGAGTGATAATAGGTAAAGATAAAAGTAGGCTAGTTGGCCATCGTGACGAATTCAACAACAATTAACAACCATAGTTTCCTGGAAGATAGATAATTTTTTTTTTCACACGACGAAGGTGGCAAACTTGTTTTTTTAACAACAGGGGGCAAACGAGCATGCACAACGTGACTACCGCCAAATGGTGGCTGCCGGCCTTTTAAAAAGGAATATACTCTTTTCAGGCTATGATGTCATAGTGGAAATATGGATTCCAAAGTGTGGTTGTGCGTGGAAAAATGTGCCTTGAAAAACGCACGGTGGAAGACCGCCATTTGTCCAGATGGTTGGGATGAAACTTTAGGGCAGGTTTGCGGCCTGACGTGAGCTTTATACAATTTCAGGTGGTGTTCCGGCGTGTAATACCGTCTCACTCTATTGAATACTCCTAACTTTTACAGTCTGATTGTAAACGGTTATGACGCCTATAACATTAGGGATGTCACGTGTGTGTTATTGATCTTGGAGAATTTTTAATAGTCTCTTTTAAAGAACCCCATACAGTAGTCTCTAAGGAAAACCATAGCAAGGAGCTCATTTCACAAGCTTTAAGACTCATTTATTAACAATTCTTTTTCAAATTTCTGGCGACAGAGATTATATTTTACTGTACAAGAAAATACACAGTTTGCAATATCGATTCAAAAAAAGAATGTGAAAGTCAGCTCAAAACTGGCAACGTAGTAATCGGGTAACACTGCTACAGAAAAAAAAAAATTAAAAAGAATTACCATCGCTTCTTTGAAAGTCGCATAAAAATAATAGTCGAATTAAATATCCCCTTTTAAATGTTAAAAATAGATTTACTGAAGATAGATAGAGTCACAAGTAATACGATTGATCTGTAATAAAACTTAGAACTGATAAAATTTATTGGTGGTTATTCCTCGTAGGGGATTCTAAGTAATTTGTCCTTTTTTATAACATAGATAAAGAATAATACCTAAATTCTTAAAGAAAAGAAAAAAAAATGTATTGACGATGTTTATTTCATTCCGTGTATTTAGAATAATACCCGCATCAACATTGCACAACAATTTTGTAATTTTTTTATAGATCGTGAAGTGGCAAACAAGCTGTCAGATTATCTGATGGAAAATTTCAAGCATCGCTTATAGACATAAATTGTGCCGTTAGTATCAGTCGTTACTGTCCACTGCTGAACATAGCCTTCCCATAGTAGTTAGCCATGGTAGATGCCACGCTTGATAGGCGGATTGGCAACCGAAGTTAGACTTTAAGCTGTTGCTTAGCCTTTGACTATTATGTTCCCTTAGTCGCCTCTTACAACATTTACAGGAAAGGAAGGGGTGGCTCATTCTATGCCGGGACCACGTGGCTGATATACTGTGATGTCATATGGCAGCAGAGGTGTCATGGATATCACATAATACACTCTGTAACTATTCCTGTTGATGCTATTTTTTATGGGACGAAAGTTCATCAATCCCTTTAGGCTATATATTGTTCCAAAAACCTACACAAATAGGGTTTCTCCTGTTGGTAACGAAGAGGTTATACCCATAGCTAATTATATACCTGCTCAGGTCGACCTTTAAGCGGCTTTCCCTGGAAATCATCATGGTTAATTCCTAATGAATTCATCACGATGGACCAACTAATTAGCTTTCATCCTCACCTATCATCCCTCACTGGTGCCCTGTCAAGGTATACCATTAGTGCGTGCAGGATAACCGTTCTATTATCAACTAGTGAAAAAATAACTCCGACATACATAAGTAATGTATGTTAATGGTTACCACATAGTTATTAACTATATACGCGGTGACCCATAATACAAAAATTCTAACCAATAACCCCCATGTCGCGATGTAATAAAATGATATTTTTGCAACTGCAAAAAGTGTTCTGTTTGGAAACTTTCCAAATATAAGAACATGGTACGGCGCGGACAAGGAAATATAATAAGTCTGTGAGATTTCATTAATTTTATTGAGGTATCACTATATTGATGCTGGAAACGCAAAATGTATTAATCGATATTTAGTACATTTCACAGAAAGTTCAGTTTTAAAAGTAAAAAAAGGTAAACGAAACAAAAAGACAAATATTTTTTTTTTTTAATGCATGACAATGGTAACCCCGCCTGCGCTAACGGTAACTATAAGCTAGGGAAACACCAGTGAGGGATGATAGGTGAGATAAAAAGGCAGGTCAGTGAGCCCATCGTGATGAATACACCAGGAATTCAGCACGATGGTTTCTAGGGGAGACCACGTGGAGGCCAACCTGACAGGGTATATTACTAGCAATGGGACCGTTAATCTGCATTAACAATCCCTCTCCCCAATAAATTATATTAGGTAGTATAGTAAATATCTGTTATGGTAAAACTGTGGATAATATATACATAATATATGTACATATTACAGTTACTGTATCTATATATTGGCCTCGTAACATATATATTAAATATCGGTTTCAATATTGGAATATCGACTAATTTATATACATATATAAAGTACATACATATTATCTATATACGTAAATCAAAAACTTTATACCCGTTTTTATGAA